ACATGAAGAATTAGCAATGGTGAAGAAGGGTGAGTGTTAGGAAAAAGGAAGAAAGGGGCCTCTTGGGGTCGGGGTGGGGTGAGGGGTGTATAATTTCTAAAAAAAATTCAAGTTGAAAATCATCTTTTTTTTTTAATTTTGACTTGTTTATATTAAAAATTCATTTTTATAATTATTTTAAATTAAAATGTCACGTGCTTTTCATTTGATTTATTATTTTGCCACATCATATACATGTGTATTACACACACTTTCTTTTTTTGACTAAAAGTATCAGAAAATTTTTTAATAGGTATTTATTTTTTAAGATTGGAGTGCCTAATAGAAAATAGGGTCTATTGAGATGTTTAAATGAATTATGCGGACAACTTTAATGGGCTACATAAGACTTAAGCCTTAAATAACTTTATATGCATATATTTTTCTTTTACTTTGTACTAATTATAAGAAAGCTCTCAAGATTCTAGCGTATATATCAATCTTTCTTAGGTAGAAAAACAAAAGCAAACTTAAAAAAATCTTTGCTCAACTGATTTGTGCATCTACATATATCACATACTGTTGGAAACATATGCACATCGAAAGCAATTTAGAAACATATTTCTTACGTGAATATTAGATAACAAATACTTTTATGCTAGAACTTATACGATTATGTTAGAACAAATTTATAACTTATTAAAATTTAATTCGATAAATACATATTGACGCGTGAGCAGATACCTTCAAGCAAATCAAAGTTAGACTGCATTTCTGTGGTTAAAATTACAGTACAACCGAACTTTCTCAATACTTGGTTGACAAGTGTGGTATAGAAAACTTATTCTAGTTTTTTTAGGTTAGAAGAACCCCTAGTCTGCACTCGAAGAAGTCAATTCTTTTCAATCACATATAGAAGCTCGGGCCATCAAGGCAGCTATTGTGGTCTACAAAGAGCAAGCATAGTCATTCTTTAGGGTGTGTTTGGTATGAAGGAAAATGTTTTCCATGGAAAATGTTTTCCTAGAAAATGTTTTCTTGGAAAACAAGTTGATTTTTGACTTATTTTCTCATGTTTGGTTGGTGAGTAGAAAATATTTTCCGAAAAATATTTTTAGTGTTTGATTTATGAATGAAAAATGTTTTTAAAAAATTTCTTTTATTTTTACTAGAGTAGAAAATAATTGTTGAAATAAAATATTTTTTAAAAACAAACTTAATTTTTTTTGGGGGGTGGGGGCTGGTAGGGGGTGGTGGGAGTCAAGGGTAGGGGTGAAAAATTGAAATTTTGAAGTTAAAAATATTTTTTAAAAACAAACTTAAAATTTTTTTTGGGGGGTGGGGGAGCTGGTAGGGGGTGGGGGGGGGGGCTGGTAGGGCGTGGGTGGGGGGTCGAGGGTAGGGGTGAAAAATTGAAATTTTAAAGTTAAAAATATTTTTTAAAAACAAACTTAAATTATTTTTTTTGGGGGGCTGGGGGGGCTGGTAGGGGTTGGGTGAGTGGGGGGTCGAGGGTAGTGAAAAAATGAAATTTTGAAGTCGAAAATATTTTTTAAAAACAAACTTAAATTTTTTTTGAGGAGTGGGGAGGGGGGCTGGGTAGGGGGGTCAAGGGAAAGGGTGAAAAAATGAAATAATATTTTTTTAAAACAAACTTAAATTTTTTTCTTTTTGAAAGGAGTGGGGGGCTGATAGGAGGCTGGGGGGGGGGGGGGGGGGGGGGCGAGGGTAGGAGGTGGGGGGTGTAAAAAAATAAAAAATTGAAATTAGAAATATCTTTTAAAAACAACTTTTAATATTTTTTTTGGGAGGAGTGGTGGTAGGGGTGAGGGTGGGGTAAAAATATTGAATTTAAAAACAAACTTTAATTTTTTTTTTGGGGGGTGGTTGGGCGTGGGGGTGGGGGGGCTGGTTTGAGGGTAGGGACCAAATAAATTGATTTTTTCAACAATTTTTTTTTTAATTGGAAGTTGGAAGAGAGTTTTGGAAAATGTTTTCCTTAAGTTTTGAAGGGAAGTCATTTTCCTTAAAATTGAGGAAAATGAGTTGATTTGGAAAACATTTTCCAAAACATTTAACCCAACCAAACATGAGAAAATTAGAAAACATTTACCAAACACACCCTTAATGGCTCACATTTTCAGTTGCGTCTTAAGTTCAAGTTCATAGCCATTTCTGCATCATCAACATTGGACAAATTCTGTGATAAATCTGCTGAACTTTTAAGTTCATCAAGGAAAATGAGGGGCCGTTTGGTTACTGGTTAGAGTTATGCAGGGTTTAGTTATGTTGGGTTTAATTATGCGGGTATTAGCTATGCGAATATTAGTTATGCAGGTATTATTTAGTTATATGTAGAGATTACGAATTATTAACTATTGAATATTAAACTTGCTGTAAATTATTAATATATATTATTTACAAAATAATAATACATGCTGGAATATATTGAATAATATATAATGCTAATATTTGATTAGCACATGTACCGTCAAAAGATATACAATCAAATTTCTAATATTAAAAAAATATTTATATTTGCATAAATAAATAAAAACTGTAAGTATATAAAAGGAAATGAAAATGGTCTATATATAAAAAGAAATAAAAACAACAAACGTGGATAGGAAAACAGTAAAGTTTCCAATTAAAAAAAATAAAATAAATTAAAAGAAATGAAAATGGTCTATATAAAAAGAAATAAAAACAACAAACATACAGAGGAAAGCAGTAAAGTTTCCAATTTTAAAAAATAAAATAAATTAATAGGGTAAATATGTAATTTATTATTTTAATACATGTATAACTAATACCACATAACTTATCTCACCTTCTACCCTGCATAACTTTACATAGATTCCCTCATAAGTTATGTTGGTATTAATTATGTAGGACTACAAAAAATGCAACCAAACACCGTATAAATTAATACATGAATAACTTTTATACAATATTTAAATTATTACCAACCAAACATGGTACAAGTTATGTTGACTTTTATACCTAATACAAAACTTCTACCAAATATAGTAAAGCAATGCAATTTTTTATTCATGAATAAGATGTCTCTTATACAATAACCAAACAACCCCTCAGTGTTTTGCTATGTTTATAAAATTAATCAAACAAAGAGTAATAATTTATTCCAATTGTGATATTTATACTCCCTCCATTTAAAAAAGAATGACCTCCTTTCCCTTTTAGTTTGTTTAAAAAAGAATGACCTCTTTCCTTTTTTGGTAACATTTTAATTTCAGTTTTCCACGTGGCATGTTTAAAGCCACAAGATTGAAGGGCAATTTAGTACATTTGACATAACTTTAATTTAGGATCACAAGATTCAAAAGTCTTCTTTATTTTCTAAAACTTCGTGTCAAGTCAAACCAGGTCACTCTTTTTTAAACGGAGGAAATACATTATTAGTAATAAGTAAGTTTAAGAAATTGTTATAAATAAATTTAAATAAAAAAGATAACCATAATACCACAAATCATGAGGGAGTTAAATGTTTCGAACCCAAATATGAGAAAAGGTATCTATAATAATCTCACGTACTCCTACAACAATGATTATTTATTATTGACTTTATACATAAATTAAGTAGTAAATTATATAAGTAATTTTACTAAATTACCTTTACTAAATGTAGGAAAAGGGTAAAAAAAAATGCCCTTAAACTATGTGAAAGGAACAAAAATGCCCCCCGTTTATAGTTTGGCTCAAAAATGTCCTTATCGTCAATACTTTAGTTAAAAAATGTCCTCCGTTTGTAATTTGATCAAAAAATGCCCTTGCCGTCAATACTTTTGTCCAAAAATGTCTTTATTGTTATTTAATGGGTCAAAAATGCTCATTTTTCAAATAAATATATTATTACTTTTTTTCTAACACATTCTTTTTCTAATAATGTTTTTTTTAAATTAGCAAATGTTTATCTTACTTCAATTCAGAAAAAATAAAAAATAAAAAAATTTCTTATTTTTTAATCATTATATAAATATAAATTAATGATGGATATATTATGATCTTATATATATTATATGTCCAAAGGGTACATGGAGTTATTAAAGAATTAATTGATAAAATGAGATTAAGAAGAAAAAAATTATTTCCTACATTATTATTTGTTAAAGTGATTTTAGAAGAAAGAAAACAAGAAGACGTGTTTAAAAAGAAAAAATATATATATTTATTCGGAAAAGGACATTTTTGACCCATTTTGTAATTATGGGGCATTCTGGACCAAAATATTGACTATAAGGACAATTTTTGAACCAAAGTATTGATTGTAAGATCATTTTTTAGGTGTTTTACACCTTTTAGGAAAAGTAGATTAGACATAAATTGAACACAATTTTTTATTTTTACCCTTATTAATTATTGTCAAATTCATAATTAAAATAACTAAACATTAATTAAATTTTATTGAAGTCAACACATTGAAAATTCAAATGAAGGGTAAAATTGGAAGAATATCTTAAAATAGTCTTGAAAATTGAACAATTAAGTTAATTTGAAAAATAAAAAATAAAAAATATCTAACAATTCAATTAATATGAAATAGATGAAATACTATTTAGTAAAAGGGATAAAACTGACACAAAATAGTAAATTATTTATTGATTTTATAAACGAAAGATATAGAAAGTAATGATGAACAAGGAAGTCTTTTGGCTTCTCTCACAATACAGTTAGCCAAGAGAGAGACGCACAATAACTATCCAAGACCCGCAACACAGAAAAGACTTCTCAGTTTCTCGTCTTCTCCAAATTTCCACTGTTCTGGTAAAATTACAGCTTCCTCTAGCTTTTGTTTTGTTTACATATATTTGTGATTTTCATGTAGAAGCTTCTATTATAGTTGCAATTATTCTAGATCTTTCTTAGGGCTCATTTCTTTTGTATATGTTTTCAACTTTGACACTATGAGATTTACTTCTTGTGAGTTGTTGATTTTTGCTTAATAAAACAGTGAGGAGTAGCTTGCCTAGTTCAAAGATTTGGATTCCCTGTATCTATTTATGGGAAGCAAGCATTCCAAGGAAACAACATCCATAAATGATGCTTCTAACTTGAATCATCGGATTCCTGTTGAAAGTAGTCGAATTCCTTTTGTAGCTTTGCAGGAAGCAACAAACAACTTCGATGACAAGTTTCTCATTGGAATGGGTGGCTTTGGGAAGGTTTACAGGGGTGTTCTGTGTGATGGCACAAAGGTGGCCTTGAAAAGGGGTAATCCTAAGTCTCGACAAGGTATTGAAGAGTTCCGAACAGAAATTGAGATGCTCTCACAGCTCCGCCATCCGCATCTGGTTTCATGGATGGGATACTGTGATGAAAATAATGAGATGATTCTAATTTATGAGTACATGGAGAATGGGAACCTCAGGAGCCACTTGTATGGGTCAGATCTACGTCTACCCAGTATGAGCTGGGAGCAGAGGCTGGAGATATGCATTGGGATAGCCAGAGGTCTGCACTACCTTCATACCAGTGCAGTTATACATCGTGATGTCAAGTCTACAAACATATTGCTTGATGAGAATTTTGTGGCAAAAATTACTGATTTTGGAATATCCAAGACAGGGACAGGGACTGAGCTTGATCAAACTCAAACGCATATTAGCACAAACGTGAAAGGAACTATGGGCTACCTTGACCCCGAATATTTTAGGAGGCAACAACTGACAGAAAAATCTGATGTTTATTCTTTTGGTGTTGTTTTATGTGAAGTTCTTTGTGCTAGGCCTGTCGTAACTCCATCTCTTCCGAGGGATCAGGTCCACATAGCTGAATGGGCATTGAAGTGGCAGAAGAAGGGACAACTGGAACAAATCATAGATCCCAATCTTATTGGCAAAATAAGACCAGATTCCCTCAGGAAGTTTGGAGAAACAGTGGAGAAATGCTTAGCTGGTTATGACGTAAATAGGCCATCTATGAGACATGTGTTGTGGAATCTAGAGTATGCACTTCATCTCCAAGAGCCTGTCATTCAAGATGATTCGGAAGAAAACAGTACCAGCTGTGTTGGCGAGAGCTCTTCACAAGTCAATGCTATCAGTCATGTTGATGCCAATTTTTCTGCGGCTCAGATCGAGAATTCAAATTTTGATGATCACACGGTGAAGCAGGGTCAGGAACGACGAATCTCTTTATGATAAACAGATCCATTTTGCAAGTTCGTTATTACGGGTAGTTCCTACAAAGGATCGGACTAATGACGTATACAATACTTGAATTCTCGATGTAGATGCTACATGGTTGGTTCTCATTGTCTGGGGATGAGTAAGGTTTTCTCACAATTAATTTAGTCCAAGGATGGATATGTAAGTGAAAGTGGTACATACCATCCTTAAGTGTTTGTTAATTCCACGCTTGTTCATGCATCATATGACGATTGATTTTATGTGTTTCTAACAATTTATTCTACAAATTTCTGAGTTTTATATAGAAAGTAAACTTTGAAAACTGCATTGCTCTACCTGTGGATCCTCTCTTCATTCTATTGTGTGTGTTCGATTGTTTCACATGTTGTATATGGTTTCTAATAAGTTATTCGTACGTAGAAAATCATTCTATTAATATCTTGTCAGCAAAAAGACACTTTCAAAACATGGAACAATTTTGAGCCTCTGGGATACCTATATTCCCTCATCATGTTGCAACCTTGCGGAAGCAAAAACATGGTGATCCATTCTCTTATTGTAAACAGGCAAACGAAAGTTGCCATTGTGTACCTCTTCTAGGATCTCTAAGAGACTGTCCGTCACATATCCCTAGATGTTTGATGTGTTTGAGACACTGTGTTATACTGCAGAATTAGTGGCTACGAAATAAAGTAAAATGTAACATTAAAGCTTGTTATTTGATCCCTTTATTGCGATACGATATCTGAAAATATGGCAATGGTTGAATCCGTCAAAGAACCACGTAAGCTACAGTACATTTATTTGACGAAACCCTTGCGTTATACACTACTCTCATTAACAAGTGATACCCTCCAGCTGATGCCTACCCCATTGTAAAGAAGACAAATTCCTAACCTTTGTAGTACCAATTTCAACTTTGCAACTTAGCAAAATGCTCTAATCTCCAGCTTTTTCAAAGATGACTTTTCTACATAGAAATGACGATTTGATTCAATTGATACTCTGCAGAAATATAACTAGTATAGCAAATACAGTCTCCTATTCCTTTTCCTCTCAGCAAATCTGTGGTAAGCAAATATTTACCAAATCATAGGAATGAAACATCAGTTCAAAATCATCCTCACTCCGGACCATAATATAGGTGATCCAATCAAGGTATGTAGTAATTTTTATTTTATTTTTACAATGCAATCAAAGTATATATGTAGCATTGATCACAAAACTATAATCGTGATATTAAACTATACAAAGAAAGATTGAGTGTTACCTTTATGAAAATTGATTCACAACAAAAACAGCTACAATCTATTACCAAAATTGCTTTCAGTATTTTTCTTCCTCTCCGCATTCTCATTTTATTTTTTAAAAAATGGTGCAACATCTTAAATTGGATAAAAAACTATGTGTTCACAAATGTCACTAGATCAAGATCACATAACTGTGGCACATTTATTGAAAATTATCCAACAAATATTGAGGCAGTTCATGTTCCAGTTTACAATGAGTATATCATTGGTTTGGTTTGTTACATACATACAAACTGTGTATATTGATACATTGCAAATAACAAACAAGCCGTTGAGCACTTCTTCAAAAAGGGAGTTCTACATCTAGATTCTAGACCAGCCTGAGCCAAAGCTTGTACGTTCAAGGTGCTCATTCTGTTTCTTGGTTGCTTCAAACTTCTCGGAGCCAGAATCCCATATCAACCACATTATGAAAAAATGAATCTATGGACACACAAGACTGGGGTTGATAAAAGCAACGATCAACAAATTATGGTTTCCAAGCAGCTGGCGGAGGTGGTGGAGTAGGGAACATCGGTGGTACTGCAGAAAATATCGTGTTCTTGTCAATTCCAACACTTTTATCTCCAGATAGAGCTACAAGGGCTGCAACCAAACCGGCATTTCCGGCAAGTGTTGGCTCGGTATAATTGTAATTAGTACGAACATCATGGAAACCATCATTCTTGTCTGGCCCAGCAACCATGGCTCCAACAAGAGTATTAGGATTAGGCTTTGATGAATCCCTCCACTTCCATCCTCCTTTACAATTATACTTGACCTTGTTTTTAGGAACTGATGCGCCTCGGTGGTGGACACGTTTTGGATAGTGATTGCCAAAGCCAACAACATAACTCATTTTCCTGGGGTTCTTGCCAAGGATATAGTCGATCTAAAAGTCAAAGAAGAAAAAATCAAGTTAATGTCAGAAATGGTTTAATATTCATCAAAATTTAGCTAGGTAATAAGAACATGCTTGCACTCTATATAGTTGGAGCAACTTATCTCCAACTAATCTCCCACGGGCCAAAGGGGACTAAAAGTAGTTTTGGAATAATTTTTTCACATGTATATATGTAACTAGTTTCTGAACACGTGCTCTGCACGTGTATCCCATGCATTGATACACATTTTTTAAAGTAATATAAGCAACACATATATTGGTAAGTTGCACAAAATTTCATTTGAAACATACAAGCTCAGACATGATTGTAAATACAGTTTGAGATTGTCAAATAACATAACTAAATTTAGCTAGACAATTAAGCATGATGTGTACATATACCACAAGCCAATAAAAATGTGATGCATGTATAATTTTGGTCCATCCATTCGTATAGCAAATTTATTTCATATATTTGATACATTAATCTATAATTACCAATAAATATAAATTTACTTATTGTGGGATTCAATCCCTAATGAATGTCACCGTTTAAAAGAGAAATAGAAAATTGCAAACCACAACAAAGACATATTTGAATAGAAAAATCTAAATATTTTAGTATGTCAATACTCATGCATCTTGATTGAAGCTATGCAACGTCATAACAATTTAAAGGCTTGATGGCAGCTCTCTTTCTCGATCGACTCATGTCAAAAAAATAGATTGAACCTTTACTCGCATAAATTTTTCTACTTCAAAGGCATCAAATTTGTAACACTTTTTCTTTTAGCCAAAAGGTTTCCGAAATAGGTATATAAAACTTGTTTTCATCTTCTCTATAGTTCAAAGTTTGCCCATCTCGTGATGCTAAATTCTCAGGCTCGTTGCACTGCAAAAATTAGTGCATCCGAAAGAATAAGAAAAAGCTTTATACTCAACCAAACTGTTGTATCAAAGAAGTCAATGTTAAATAAAAGTAGCTTCATACTGAAACACAATATTGTGCTTTTTATTAGTAAAATCATGTTATGGCCAAACAAACTCGGCAATATTTATAAAATTGAAATATAAAATAGCTACAATAATTAATTAAAACTTCAAGTACAATATGGATCATCTCTATGAACTGAATGAGGGAAACAAAGAAAAAGATCATATATTCTTACAATGAAATTTGATCAATAAATAAAATTAATGCAATTGTCATAACATTTCTACAGTATGAGCTTGGCAAAAAACAACATTTATTCAAGAAACGATATAGAATTGTTTAGAAAGGGAAAAAAATATATATATCAAGCACTGTAAAATTTAAGAAGTAATAGTAAGCCAAATTTAAATAAACACTACAAGAAGTAGGAAAGTTACCTTTTTCAATTTTCTGTTGGCCTTTTTACATTTTAAAATTGTGTAGTCTTGGAGGAGTAGTTCTCTCAATTTTGGAAGAGAACATTTTCCTTTTTAGCAGTGACAACATAAGATATAAAGGGGGGTGTAGAGATTTAATAGAATGTAGAGGGGTGTAATTAATTTTCAAACTGATTATAAATTGATAGATTACAGTTTTCAAAGTGATTTTAATAAGAAGAAACTTTTGGGCTTTCAAAATTATGAATGTAAGCAGCTAGACTACGTTTTTTTACTTTAAAAAATCACCCTTTAAATGGATGTAGCATATTGAATTTGTTGCAAGTCTTTTCGAATTCTTCAATGGTTTGGAGCAGTAAAACACCACTTATGGAGAATGGAGAGACATTCTTAAAATGCCTTGTAAAACACCTTTTCATTTTTAGTATTTAATATAATATGATATGATATAATTATTATTCACTATTTAATTGTTTAGATATTTTATAATATTTTGAATTAAGATAGGGGTAAAATAGTATTTCAACTTTTACTTTTGTGGCTTCCCACTTATAGTATAATATATGATATATGATATTTCACACAACTATTAGCATAACTGATGTAATAAAACACCAAAAAAAAAGGGAATTTCATTTACCTGAGTCTGTGCAAATTCACGTAGGACATCAGTGGAGTAGAAATGAGGTCCACAATACCATCCAGGGGTGTCGGCAGCTGCAAGATAGTCACTATACAAGGTAGCCAGGAAGGCAGCTGCAAGATAGTCACTATACAGTTAGCCAAGAGAGAGACGCACAATAACTATCCAAGACCCGCTGCACAGAAAAGACTTCTCAGTTTCTCGTCTTCTCCAAATTTCCACTATTCTGGTAAAATTACAGCTTCCTCAAGCTTTTGTTGTGTTCACATATTTGTGATTTTCGTGTGAAAGTCTATTATAGTTGCAATTGTTCTAGATCTTTCTTAGGGCTCATTTCTTTTGTATATGTATATGTTTTCAACTTTGACACTATGAGATTTACTTCTTGTGAGTTGTTGATTTTTGCTTAATAAAACAGTGAGGAGTAGCTTGCCTAGTTCAAAGATTTGGATTCCCTGTATCTATTTATGGGAAGCAAGCATTCCAAGGAAACAACATCCATAAATGATGCTTCTAACTTGAATCATCGGATTCCTGTTGAAAGTAGTCGAATTCCTTTTGTAGCTTTGCAGGAAGCAACAAACAACTTCGATGACAAATTTCTCATTGGAATGGGTGGCTTTGGGAAGGTTTACAGGGGTGTTCTGTGTGATGGCACAAGGGTGGCCTTGAAAAGGGGTAATCCTAAGTCTCGACAAGGTATTGAAGAGTTCCGAACAGAAACTGAAATGCTCTCACAGCTCCGCCATCCGCATCTGGTTTCATGGATGGGATACTGTGATGAAAGTAATGAGATGATTCTAATTTATGAGTACATGGAGAATGGGAACCTCAGGAGCCACTTGTATGGGTCAGATCTACGTCTACCCAGTATGAGCTGGGAGCAGAGGCTGGAGATATGCATTGGGGTAGCAAGAGGTCTGCACTACCTTCATACCAATGGAGTTATACATCGTGATGTCAAGTCTACAAACATATTGCTTGATGAGAATTTTGTGGCAAAAATTACTGATTTTGGAATATCCAAGACAATGCATGAGCTTGATCAATTTGATACTCATATTAGCACAAACGTGAAAGGAACTATGGGCTACCTTGACCCCGAATATTTTAGGAGGCAAGAACCGACAGGAAAATCTGATGTTTATTCTTTTGGTGTTGTTTTATGTGAAGTTCTTTCTGCTAGGCCTGTCGTAACTCCATCTCTTCCGAGGGATCAGGTCCACATGGCTGAATGGGCATTGAAGTGGCAGAAGAAGGGACAACTGGAACATATCATAGATCCCAATCTTATTGGCAAAATAAGACCAGATTCCCTCAGGAAGTTTGGAGAAACAATGGAGAAATGCTTAGCTGGTTATCAGGTAGATAGGCCATCTATGGGTCATGTGGTGTGGAATCTAGAGTATGCACTCCATCTCCAAGAACCTGTCATTCAAGATGATTCGTAAGAAAACAGTACCATCTCTGTTGGCGAGAGCTCTTCACAAGAAAACAGTATCAGTCATGTTGATGCCAATTTATCTGCTGCTCAGATGGAGAATTCAAATTTTGATGATCAAACAGTAGTCTGGGGATGAGTAGGGTTTTCTCACAATTGATCAAGTCCGAGGATGGATATCTAAGTGAAAGTGGTAAATACCATCCTTAAGTGTTCGTTAATTCCACGTTTGTTCATGCATCATAAGAAGATTGATTTAATGTGTTTCTAACAATTTATTCTACAAATTTCTGAGTTTTATATAGAAAGTAAACTTTGAAAACTGCATTGCTCTACCTGTGGATCCTCTCTTCATTCTATTGTGTGTGTTCGATTGTTTCACATGTTGTATATGGTTTCTAATAAGTTATTCGTACGTAGAAAATCATTCTATTAATATCTTGTCAGCAAAAAGACACTTTCAAAACATGGAACAATTTTGAGCCTCTGGGATACCTATATTCCCTCATCATGTTGCAACCTTGCGGAAGCAAAAACATGGTGATCCATTCTCTTATTGTAAACAGGCAAACGAAAGTTGCCATTGTGTACCTCTTCTGGGATCTCTTAGAGACGGTCCCTCACATGTCCCTAGATGTTTGATGTGTTTGAGATACTGTGTAATACTGCAGAATTAGTGGCTATGAAATAAAGTAAAATGTAACATTAAAGCTTGTTATTTGATCTCTTTATTGCCATACGATATCTGAAAGTATGGCAATGGTTAATCTGTCAAAGAACCAGGTAAGCAAAAGTACATTTATTTGACGAAACCCTCGCGTTATACACTACTCTCATTAGCAAGTGATACTCTCCTGCTGATGCCTACCCCATTGTAAAGAAGACAAATTCCCAACCTTTGTAGTACCAATTTCAACTTTGCAACTTAGCAAAATGCTCTAATCTCCAGCTTTTTCAAAGATGTCTTTTCTACATAGAAATGACGATTTGATTCAATTGATACTCTGCAGAAATATAACTGGTATAGCAAATACAGTCTCCTATTCCTTTTCCTCTCAGCAAATCTGTGGTAAGCAAATATTTACCAAATCATAGGAATAAAACATCAGTTCAAAATCATCCTCACTCCGGACCATAATATAGATGATCCAATCAAGGTATGTAGTAATTTTTATTTTATTTTTACAATGCAATCAAAGTATATATGTAGCATTGATCACAAAACTATAATCGTGATATTAAACTATACACAGAAAGATTGAGTGTTACCTTTATGAAAATTGATTCACAACAAAAACAGCTACAATCTATTACCAAAATTGCTTTCAGTATTTTTCTTCCTCTCCGCATTCTCATTTTATTTTTTAAAAAATGGTGCAACATCTTAAATTGGATAAAAAATTATGTGTTCACAAATGTAACTAGATCAAGATCACATAACTGTGGCACATTTATTGAAAACTTATCCAACAAATATTGAGGCCGTTCAGGTTCCAGTTTACAATGAGTATATCATTGGTTTGCTTTGTTACATACATACAAACTGTGTATATTGATACATTGCAAATAACAAACAAGCCGTTGAGCACTTCTTCAAAAAGGGAGTTCTACATCTAGATTCTAGACCAGCCTGAGCCAAAGCTTGTACGTTCGAGGTGCTCATCCTGTTTCTTGGATTGCTTCAAACTTCTCTGAGCAAGAATCCTATCAACCACATTATGAAAAATGAATCTATGGACACAAAAGACTGGGGTTGATAAAAGCAACGATCAGCAAATTATGGTTTCCAGGCAGCTGGCGGAGGTGGTGGAGTAGGGAACATGGGTGGTACTGCTGAGAATATCGTGTTCTTGTCAATTCCAACACTCTTATCTCCAGATAGAGCTACGAGGGCTGCAACCAAACCGGCATTTCCAGCAAGTGTTGGCTCGGTATAATTGTAATTAGTACGAACATCATGGAAACCATCATTCTTGTCTGGCCCAGCAACCATGGCTCCAACAAGAGTATTAGGATTAGGCTTAGATGAATCCCTCCACTTCCATCCTCCTTTACAATTATACTTGACCTTGTTTTTAGGAACTGATGCGCCTCGGTGGTGGACACGTTTTGGATAGTGATTGCCAAAGCCAACAACATAACTCATTTTCCTGGGGTTCTTGCCAAGGATATAGTCGATCTAAAAGTCAAAGAAGAAAAACCAAGTTAATGACAGAAATGGTTTAATATTCATCAAAATTTAGCTAGGTAATAAGGACATGCTTACACTCTATAGAGTTGGAGAAACTTATCTCCAACTAATCTCCCACGGGCCAAAAGGGATTAAAATTAGTTTTGGAATAATTTTTTCACATGTATAGGTAATATTTCACACAACTATTAGCATAACTGAGGTAATAAAAAACCAAAATAAAAAGGGGAATTTCATTTAACCTGAGTCTGTGCAAATTCACGTAGGACATCAGTGGAGTAGAAATGAGGTCCACAATACCATCCAGGGGTGTCGGCAGCTGCAAGATAGTCACTATACAAGGTAGCCAGGAAGGCAGCATTGACTACATACTGAAGTGGCTGAGGCCTTCCATGGTTTAACTCTATCAGCCCACCTGCAAACACCCAACAATTTATATTTGACTTCCCACAAACTCCGCAAAACAATTTACATGCTAACTAGATTAAAGATGCTTACCTTTCGTTCGATTAAATGAAGTGAAGAATGGCAAGAAAGAGCACATGACTATGCTTGTCTGGTTATGAAATGTACTCAAAATTTCTTCATAAGGATATCCAGGGCTCAAGAACAATCTCAAACGGCTTAGAAGCACCTAATAACAAAAAATGAAAAGCATTGGTTCAATACAATACAAAAACATACAAAATGAAAAGCATTGCTTTAATACAAAGAGAGACTATATGTTCTTACTTGTGCTCCAAAGAGCTTATTATCCCAGCTGAACACGCCATAATCAGGACCTCCCCAGAAAGCACCAGCGTGTTTGGCGATACCAGGAGTTGTAGCAAGCTGAAGATATGAAGTATTTCCTGTAGCATAATACAGCCAGGATGCACCCCACACAAACTCATCCCAATAACTAGTCGAATTGTAGAAAATTGAAGCTTCATTTCCGCTACTGTATCTACCACGCTGTTCTCTGGCAAACTTGAACAAAGTTCTAGCACCATGAACAAGCTTTTGTGAGTACACCTTGTTATCCTTAAATACAATGGAAGCAGAAGCCAGAGCAGCAGCCATCTCGGCAGCAAGATCCGAGCAACTGTGACATTCAGTTACAGGTCGTGGATAATCAATGTCTTCTGGACGCACCCAACAATAGTGATCGTTGGGATCTGGTCCTCCTGAAGTATCCCCTATCCCCACCTATATAACAGAGCACAAATCCTTGTATGAGATCAAGTATGCATGATCATTTTTTCAAAGATTTTGAAAGAAACAACACACATGCAATCATTGATTTCGTTTTGTCAATTAAATATAGTATTTCAAAATGCCAAACGCGTGATCAACATCATGCATAAATTAGTCTATCAATTGATGAAAACAGAACAATTATAAAATCATGAATCAATGTAATGAATGAGATTTACTTGTGCAACGACTCGATCAATGGTATCAGCTGACGAATTGAATGTTTTCAAGAGATAATCAGTCCCCCACTTAATAATATCCTTGACATGAGTGAGCTCTGCAGCAGCTTCATATTTTGCAGGATACTCAATCACACTCCAACTCAACATAGTTAAAGCAAAAGATTGAGGGAAATTAAACTTTATCGCATCTCCTGCATCATAATAACCCCCAACCAAATTCTTAAACGTAGTCGAACCATCCGATTTGCCATCCTGCAGAGCTGAACTCCCCCTCCATGACACATTATTATGCTTAGGAAGTTTCCCCGCTGTCAAAAATCAAACACAAAATCAAATCAAAACCTCAACAAATAACTAAAATCACGTAAAAAAATTGGGGAAAAAACTTACAGCGCTGTGCATTGAAGAACATAAGAGCTTTACGAAGAGCTAAAGTGTAGTTATCTGGTGGAGGATTATGGTGTCGGTGCTTAGGTACAGTTTTTACAATAAGAGTAACAAATCCAGCAATAAGTGCAGCTGCAATAATACAACCGACAGTCCATTTGAATACTTTTCTACTAACAATAATACAACCCAGATCTACATATTTCTTCTTCTTTTGCTCTGTAGGACCTAATAACCAACTTTGCTGCGTTTCATCTAAATTTCGTGACAAAGCTGCTTTATCAAAATCCTGTAAGTTTCTGCTCCGATCATCATCAGTAGCTGAATCTGTTGCATTAATTTCTAATGCACCTCCCCATGGATCCCTCCCGTACATACTGAGAAACAAAAACAGTTTTCAGAGAATGAGAATTGTTGATTGTTTGAGCTCAACAGTAGTGAAGGGAGGGAGATAAATTATTAAAGGAAGAGTAAAGTGGGTGAGGTTAGTGGGTAATAATGGAGTTGTGGAGTATATGAAGCTGGAATATTGGTGGGAAATATACAGTTGAAGGCACCGACACCGACACTTGTGCTAGTAGACAAAGACACTATAGCTAAGCTGACCCTCTTTGATGGTTCTTTGCTTCCTACTTTAATTGGAGTGTAAAATTAGCTATTAATTTAGATTCCCTTCATTCAGTTTCCACTCTACTAAAAACAATGATCTTTCACTTGTAAGAAAAAAAATATTATTTTATTTGTGGTCTTTTAATTTGGCAAGTTAAATAAAGAATGAAAAACTTTCTAGATTTATCGCAACACATCAATTATATTGTAATAAATTACTTATACTGATCATTAATTATATCTTAAAAGGGTGTGTAAAATTTAAAATAGATAAAGTAAAATTGAATGGAAGGAGTACATTTATAGGATGATGCCATTTTAAATTCAATCAATAATTTTCATTCTTTTTAATTAGAGATAATGGTAAGAAAAAACCTAAAATATCATGTTTTAAAATTTATCTCATATATACAAATTATTATTACTTTTTTTTACATGATCAGGTATTTATGTTTCATATCTGAACTGTCACCAACTATTTTTTAAAACATGTATGTGAATTAATGATTCAGTTATCACGTGGATGAAGTTCTATGGGCAAAGTAAATTGTCATACATTATTTTGACAATTGTGTCCAAACACTTGATCTAGTAAACTTCAGGGTGTTCTGATAGATAGTTGATAGTAATAATTTAGATAGAAAAAATAAACATCTAGTAGTTTAGATATAAAACATACAAAAACATGATACTTTAAGTGTATTTTTCAATATTATCTCTTTATCTAATGATACAATTTTAAGTACAAATATTAATAATAACATAAATATTATCATCTATTAAATAATCTGAATTTCAAAAAAATTACGATCATATAAATATAGTAGTAATATTTAAGATATGAAAAATATTTTAATCATTTTAAGTTTTGTGTATTTAAATTAAGCTATATAAATTGAAATTAATGCAATTGAAGGAATATTAATTTTTTAAATAATACAGTACATAATATAATAGAATATATACTATAAATAATGTGTATAATCACAACTTCATCACTTTTCTTAAAACTAGTTTTAAAATAAAATAAAAAAACTTATGTTTAATTAAGTATTGAGTAGTTCATACATGAGATTCACTAACATATATATTTATTAATGTTTGATTAACTTATCAGTACTTCCGACATTTTTATTACTCTTTTGCTTTCAAATATCCTTGCAGTTTTCTTTTTATACACCACTTGCTTATTCGACTTTAGAGATAAAATTGCTCAAAATTAACCCATATTAATGCCGGGTGTTATTCTTTTTATTCTTAAATATAATTTAATTAATTATTTAATATGTGTTAAGAGGGAATAATTCTTTGCCATCAACTCCTGCTAATTCATCCCTATAAAAGTAGTAAAATCACCACATTGTAAATCATTAAATTCTCTGATTGAATACTTGAATTTCATTTTAGTAGAACTTATTAATATCATTACTCGTTCATCCATTTTGAACATTTATCAAGCTTGTTCGGAGATATTACCATCGAAGATATCATTTAGACTCAGGCTAAAGCAACACATTTGTTCAATATTATTAAATTCAGACAATTTATCTTAGGTTACTTCTTATTTACAGCTTTTCTTGCTTAAATATATTTCACATTTTAATCAATCCAAACCATGTGTCCTTTAAATCTCGCGTACAAATTTAACTGTATCTCTTTAAAATTAAACAATGTACAATTCCATTATTACAACCCGGCATACCACTATATACGAAGCCTCTATACCAAATAATAATGCACGTATTGTTAGGACAAAAATTTGTTAAGAAATCCATGCACGTATCTCTTGATCTATAAAAAAAAAAATTAATTAATACACAATTTTTAACATTTGAAATAAAATATTTAAGTGTAAATAAATTTCAAAACAACTTTATAAAGCTTCACTAATAAATGCACAAATCAATCTCAAACCATGCGGATCAAGGAATTCAACTGCTCTCGATACAATAAGAGGAAAATTTAAAGTTTAAGAAATTTAAATTTGACTTCGGTCAACATTTAATTAAAACAATTCTATATAAATAATTTAATAATTTAATAGATTTGAAATATATTTTTTAATTAAATAGCATATTTGTCTTGTTTTTGTTGTTGCGAACCTGGTGCGATCGTAACTGTGAGATTTATCACGGGAGCGATCGCACCTCAATACCTAACTATTGGCCGACATATGAAAGGGCCAGTAAGGAGAAGGGCTAAAATGGAAATTTACAGGTGAACTAGCAGACGTTTTTTTTTTTTTTGGTTGCATTATTAGTTTAGGTGCAACTTGTTCCACCGACAGTACAGGAACTATATAATTCATTGGTTCAAAATGTAATATAGTACTTTAACAGCTTGTTTGGATGCTGGTTACCTATTGTATTATATTATTAACTTAAATATAATATTTATTTTAA